GCTGTGATATTCCAGTGCCAGGGCTAGGCAGGGTTAACATCTCTGCCCACTGCTTAGGCATGAGTGGGAGGGAGATAAGAAGCAGGGCTGGGGGAGCCCTTAGGGAAAAGCCGATCAAAAGCAGAAATAAATACTTCTGATGAGCATAACCAACTCTTCCTAAGAGATGCAGACTGTCTCTGACACCGTGCATTCACGACTCAAGGCTTTGAAGCCAGCAGAGACATGAAAGTGAAGAATAAATCCAGCTCAGCAAGGAGCTTCCTCCGATCGCTGTGCTTCTGTCTGCCCAGGGTAAGCCCTGCTCTCTGAGCCAGCACATTGGCCCTCCACAGCACACCGTAACAGAGGGCACCTTCCACCCACCCCAGTCTCAGGAGGCAGTCGTTGCCTCACCATGTCTGTGTATTATAAATAGAAATGAATGCGGGGTCTGTAGGGGAAAGGAGAGCAGCCTATGTATATTTTATTAAAAGGGACTTTTGAGGCTGTTCAAACACCTGTCACATTTAGAAGGGAAAAAAAAAAAAAATGGTTTGAAAAGAAAGAACACTTCCGCACAAACCTTCATCCTCATGTTTCAGAAAGAACAGCGATTCTGTTGGGTGTAAATATCAGCCATCCCAGGGCTGAAACCCAAGTGCAAGAAGCAGCATATCAAATGGATGGAGAATCTGAAGAAAAAGCAGCCAGCCTTGTTTGATAGAGCGAAGCAAGGTGGCATAAAAGTCACTGAGAGGGCTTCGCACTAGAAAGACTCTCTCAGTCCAGAATACAAAACAAGCCCATCTGTATCTCCCCATACAAAGCCCCAAAAGGGTGCCAAACTCTGCTTGGCTTCATCCACGTGAAGCACAAGCCTGGCCAAAAGAAGTGTACATGCACAAATGACTTCTTTACACTGGGATTTATGTTGATCTCAGCCCCAAAGCAGATAGGCCACTACAGCACTGAGTGAAGACGGTCAGAGCGACCGCTTGCAACGGAGAAACTCACCTGGGTTCAGCAACAGGGTAAGTTACATGGGTGTGAACTGGAGTACAACATGTCTACACTGTTGCAGCTACATCAAGGTTTACAATCGGGGCACACTTCCAGAGCAAGTCAAGTCACAGAGATGCACGCAACTCTTGTTCCTGCCTAGGTTAGCTGAAGAGTGTACCATTGAGTTGCAGGACAGTCAAGCCCATTAGGACACCCCACCCGATAACCATTGCCAGGACAGGAAAGAGAACATTATGATGTTCTGAATGTGCGCATCAAGCATCCAATCCAAGGTAAAAGCTAGCAACATCCACACTATCCCAGAATAAAGCTGCAGAGGGGGAGAACTGCATTTCTCATGGAGAAGGTGTTCATTACCTTTTCTTCCATAGCTTTGCTTGACAGGGCTGGAGCTGCTCCCTGCTCCATCAAAACACTGGGCTTTCCAATGGGCGTACTCATGGCTTCAGGCCTCCCTTAAGGATTAGGACAGATATAATCTTTGGTTGTAACACGGAAGGAAGGAAGACTTTCTTGGTTGTTTCCCCTTCCATCAGTCACCGAGGCACAGGTTCCCAGGGGCTAAGCATGCATGGAAGAGGAGGGTTTGCCCTCTCCCAGTACAAGCTTCTGGTCTCAGCAGAGGGAGGGGGGGCAATTCCAGCCTTTACCACCCTCTAGACCTGGAGGGCAGAGGCAAGTAGAGAGGGGGGCATTCCCCCTTTATCTCAAACCTACCACCCTGAAGCTTCCCAACAAAAAACATGATGTGGCAAAGGGAAGATAAAACATAACTAAGACTCACCTCTTTCCACATCCCTCTCCCCAGTGTCTTCATTTGTTCCCAGAGACCACAAGGCCTCAAGACAGCTGGAAGAAGCCTCACTTCAGCCTGTTCAGAGCTGCTGACAAAAAAAACAACCATTGCCCCCTCTCTCCACAGAAGTCAAGGACTACTTGAGGTGCAGAAACAGAGAGCTGCTTCCAGAACAGAGACTGAGCCTAAACGGGACTAATAGGCACAAGTGTCTAATTAGCAGCAGCTGCCAAGGGGTGGAGAGCCGGCAGGCCTAATCAGTGGTCTGGTGCACACCTGGGCTGAGACGCTAAGGTGGCAGACTAGCCCAGGGAAGGGCTCTGGTACAGCCTTAGTAGGAGGACTTGCTCCTAAAGCATAGCACCTGTTGCAATATGCTACTGCTTTCCAGCTGGATGATGCCCTGGGCCCTCACTGCCCTGGCCTGTTTCTGCCTTGACCTAGGAACCTACTGAGCAGAAAGAGCTGCCGTGGTGCTAGTGAGAGCTGAAGAAGGTGCCCTGCATGCAGGCTTCCAAGCAAGCATTGTAATATAAGCTGTGCCCATCAGACTCTAGTCAAAATCTCCTTTTTGCCTCCTGCTGTGAAGGAGGCAGTGACTGAGCACTGAGCAGAGGAAGTCAGACTGGAGATCTCTTCCTGGGATGGTTTCTCATTGCCGTCAGCTGGTGAGCTACTCATTCATTTCTTTGTGCATCGGCTGGGGAAATCTCTCAGCCTGTCCCTCCTCCTCGCCCCATCATCTGTCTATCAGGGAAACAGAGGGTTTGTGTAAATTGGTTTAGTTTAGTGCAGTTAATATCTCCAGTAACACACGCTGGGAAAGGGTAATCAACTGTCATGCTTCAAAGAATAAGCCAATCATCTCCAGGGGTCAGAGGAAATCCCATCCTTAGCCTTCACTGCCTGTGAGCTGCATGGGCTATTTTGCTTGGAGCATTATGAGGTTGACTTCACTTTTCCCCGCATTTATCAGGAAAAGATCACTGCTGAGATGAGGATACCGAACAGTATAAACCAATGGTCTGTTCCAGTAGTCTCCGTCATGCTAGACTCCTTACCGCTAAGGATAGATGATAGAAGGCTCCGCTACATGTCTCAATAATGGTCTGGTAACTTGTGAATGAGCTCACTTTGAAGTTAAAGGTATCATTAATAATAACTAATAGTGCTACCACCAAAAGGTGCTAGAGAGCACAACTAGACATCTGTACTAAGGACAGACCCGAGGCAATTCCTTGCTGCTCGGTTCATGTTCTCTCCATTAATCCACAATGTCTGTAGGCACAGGGGGATGGTGGGGAGCTGTGATGATGAGCATAGGGAACTTCTGGACACCCCACAGGCTTTATGACTTGTGAAACACAGACCTTGCTGCAAAAGGGATTTGCAACATATGCTTTGCCTCCACCCCCTGACCCCTCCCCTTCTTGCCAACAGGAGCAAATGAGACCTTTCTGCATCCTGGAAGTATCGTCTTAATTTTATGATTGGGGAATTTGAGGCACTGGGAGCCTGAAGTGACCTACCCAAGGTAATGCAAGGGTACTGTCATTACCTTGCATTATCAGGACCGTGTATCAAATGCAGGTTGCCTTCATCCCAGAGCTTGTAGACAGGTTTTCTATACATATAATATCGGCACTGAACAGGTTAAATGGAGAAGACCCCCCAAAAGCCAGCAGGAGCCCCAAGAAAGAGGTGTTTGGTTGTTCTATGGGTTATTAGGATTTTGTTTCTCCTCCTGGGCTTGGAACTATAATTAGCATAATTGGGTCACCCCTAAAGTGTGTGATTGACAGCCAGGGCATCCTACCAGAGAGAATCTGGCTCATGGCTCATTATTAGCTTGAGCTTGACAGGCAATTGCAGTGGCAGGAAGAAAAGGGGGAAACCTAGGGGCCGTGCAGCCTGCTGGGCTAGCAGTTTTGATCGGCCAGTGTGAAATCCCACAATGTCACCTAGGAGCGGCTGTTTCTGCAGCTCTTTGACTGTAGCCTGCTACTGGGGAGACATGATCAGATCACGGGGAGCCGTAATGCCAATGCTGCTTGAGATGCCTGGCAGCATGGGAACAGCCCTGCATCAGCGCTTCTATTGGGAGATCTTGAAAATAGACAGAAGGCCCAGCAAGGCCCAGTAAAGGTCACATCTCATCCTAGTGAGATCTCCAGCATTCAGGTTCATGTAAATCCAGGTTTCTAATTCAGAGAAACACAAAAGGAGAAATAAAGGGCCTGCTGCTTAGCTCCTTACTGACTGAAGCCCCGCATTGAGCCACACAAAACCATAACAAGAACTTTCCCTGTGCCCGTTTCCTCCAGGAGAGAGCCTGCAGGTCCTAGAGGAAAGGGCACTATTCAGGCACTATAGGATTTCTGGCCTCTTTGCTGAGATCCCCTCCTAGCTTGGCAAGTTGTGGGCATGGTTTGTCTGAGAGCAGCCCCCAAACCTGGTGACAGATGCTGAATTGTCAACAACCACTTCCAGTCTAGAATTTTAAGAAGCCAAAAAAAGGTGGTGTGAAAGGCCTGGTGTCACCTGCATCCCCAAGGCCATGAGCCAGCCAGTCCTCCTGGCCCCATCAGCTTTCCATTCAGGGTGGGATTTTCAAAGGGAATTACGGAAGATGGGTGCCTGACTCCAGGTGAGCATCCTCCAGCCCAGAGTGCTTGTGTCCTCTTGGCTCCTCAGAAAATCCCCGTCTTAAATCCCCTCCCTTCCTTTGTCCTCTGACAGCACCAAGCGACAAATCTCGCGATCGCCCTTCCCCACACCAGCCCTTCTAAAGAGCCGTCCTGACCCTCCTCCTAACCCTGTCAGCGCTTGCCGTATTAATGCTCAGCAAATACATCTCTGTCAAAACCACTCGCCGTCAGGCAGCCCGCCGAGAAACATCTCTCTCCCTGAGCTGCTGAAGGACTCTGGAATCGGGATGCAACAGCTGTTTTAAGGACTTCATAAATCCGTGAAGATAAAAAACCACCCACCCAGCACTTTATAACAATACCCCATGCTGATGAACTGGCGTATCGGAAATAAATACAACCGCCCACAGAAACCTTCCAATAAATCTCTTCTGCATTATTATATATGTGTGTGTATTTGCATGTGTGCATATATATATATATATATATATATTGAATAGGAAACGGGAATAACTTTCTTTTTCAAAAGAAAAGCCCAAACTTGTCCCCAACATCTTAAAAACTCTCCCTGCCTTTTCCCATCTCAGCTTGCACCGGCACTGCTTCCATCTATCATACCGCACTTCCCCTGCTCCAGCCACCCTCCGCTATCTCCAGTCCCCTTCCCTCCTCCACCACCCCCTTGTCATCTCCCCCACAGTAACTCCTCTCCAAATCCCAACAAGGTTTTCTAATTAGACTAATTAATTTTCTGCCCAAGTTAATAAGACTGTCTGCGGTTCAGAAATAATTGGACTTCCCAAACACCAATCTCCCCTCCCCTCCCATCTCTCCCTCAGCGGTGAGCTGCGATAGGGCTTCTTAATAATTCAAAATTAGCTTCTGTTTTTCATATGATGGCCTTACATTTCAAGAGTTATTTAGTTTTTTCATTAACACTTTGGCACCAGTTCCCCGGCCGGAGATGAACAGAAGGGGCGGGGGGTGAGTGTGTAAGGTGGGGGCAGGAAGCCAGTGAGCCTGGATTCACTCCAAGACCTGATAAAGAGTCATTCAGGGATTAGTGCACCGCGAGACTCCCAGGTTATACACAACCAGTTTTCTGGCAGATCAATTCCCACCCTTCAGCCCCAGGCTTCATTTGAGAGTGTTTTGGTGTCTGAGCCGAAGCAACAGCCATGA